TGTGTGTATACCTGATTTCATTTTCACAGTTTTGTAATAAATACATTTTACATGTGGTGCTTGACATAATTATGAAGTGCTCCAATATGTCCTTTCTTTTAGTTTTACTCTCTTCTGCAAATAAACGTGTTACGATACTTTGCTGTACAACCCCATCACCATAATAAAAACACCAACTGCTATAATGACATTAACTTCTACTTAATACATAAGAAACACCCCCTTCACCATAACAAATATAAATTGTTGCCCACTTCCCCGGAAATATAAGTGACCATTCACAGGTGTAACATAAATAGGCATGGGCGTCGCGGGGGGGGGGAGGCACTCCCCCCCCCGGAAAAGCCAAAAAAAAAAGTCATAGTGGTGTAAATTTAATGGGTTGGGGGGGAGCAAAATGTCTCTGCCCCCCTCTAAAACTGATAAATCGAGAATGTGTTGAGAAAAACAGGCATTTTGTGGGCAAAAATATGTTTTGCCCCCCTCTATAAAAAATTCTGGCGACGCCCACACAATACCCAACCCCCACCCCCACTGGCTGCCCCCTCCTCTCCTCTGTAGTGAGAACGATGGATACGACGTTGTATAGGCCAAGATCAAACCGCGTTTCATCTAAATTACCTAATTGGTACAGTTGGTGTATACGTCCTTAATGGTTTGGCACCTTGAAAATTCAATGTTCAAATTGACTGGACAATATTCCTGCACAACATTATTTATGAGCTTTATATAACGAGACACTGCATGAGACAATCGGTCGGCAATGAATACTTAATTTCATTCAACTGTTGACAGCAAGACCTTCCTAATCGGCGCGCAATTTAAAACATTTAAACGGTATGAATCCCAGCACAGACATAAACCTCCACAATATCAGCGATTTCAATATCACCATCTCCCCTCTATAACAAAAACCATTTCTCCCCATCCCTGGAAATGTTTCTCCCCATCCCCGGAAATATTGGTGACATGGTCGACGGGTTTTAACGACGTTCCAACTAGCACCCTTCACCCTAGCTAGCCCCTTCCCCTATATTGACAATATGTCCTTGGACCCTCGCACAATCTCCGCAGGAAACGTTATGTACGCGCACGTTGAACGCAAATACAAATTAGGCGAGACTGATGGCGAGTCCAAATAGGCTCACGCCTCGCGTGCAGCAGAGGGTATGATTCTTTATTTGACTTAACAGTTGTTTGGAGTTATTAGAGTTTAAATTATCGAGATTTCATTGTATACAGTAATTATTACGAAACAGTCAACTCTACCCATCTAGCGGGTGCCGCGCGAAGCGCGGCATCCCGCTAGTTTTTCACAACGCGTAAAAGATCGTCGCCATTGTAAAGCATAGAGATAGGAACCCAACACGGTGTGACCTTGTAACCCCATACGCCCACTGATTGGTCAAGCTCGAGTATGGCCTGCTTAATGTTCATAAGTCATTCATTGCACGTTATAGCACGTGATATTCACGATCACAAACGTTTTCAGGACGGCGTACAAAATGTACTTACGTTCGTTTACACGCGTACACGTGATTGCAAATCATGAAATCTCGCACTGCAAAAGTTTTCATTTTTCAACCAGCGATTTAGAAGTCTCATGCACGTGTTTCACATGAAAATGAAGCGTAAACTTTCCTTTATCTACTGAGCCTTGCCGTTTCTTTCGGCCTTTTTAAGAATCGAATGTACACCTAAAAACTATCATTGGACCTTGATAATTTTGTTGATAAAAAAAATATGATTTTGTTTGACAGGCCGTATACTACAATTTGTATTTGTAAAAAAGCAGTTATTTTTGGTATCAAGATAAAGCACACGATTTCAACTTTTCACTTATTTAGCTATCTTGGCCAAACAGTGCATGTATCCAGGCAGTTTTCGTGTTTTTATGTAATCTCGAATAAATCTCCTAATATCTCGCGTACGCTTTTGGGCCATGCATGCGCGACCTCCGGGACAAGAAACTGAGGTCAAACAGGGCTGCGTGCGTGACACGACCACTGACTGATACCGAGTGAGTGCAGTGTACCCTGCAAACAGGAGGCTGGTCAGGGCTGACGTCATTTGAGCTCTCATTGGATAGATTTGCGTGACCCGTGACGTAGAACGCGTCACACAAACTAGCTTCCGCTGCCCATCATGCGTAGCGCGCACTAGCTGCATGCGAAGGTCAATCTGTACTTCCTTCACAAGATTCTGTGAAGCTCATCATCAGCACTTACCAGCGCCCTGTTTGCATAGTCTAGGGGCTAGACGCTGTTCTTGTTTGCTACGCCGATAACCCGCCACCACGATAACCGGCCATCGCAAGAGGGCGCTATCACGACCAACCAATATCACCCACGAAGGGGCTAGACGCTGTTCTTGTTTGCTACGCCGATAACCCGCCACCGCGATAACCGGCCACCGCGAGAGGGCGCTATCACGACCAACCAATATCACCCACGAACCTGTCCAAACAACGTCTAGGGTACACGTATGTTTCAGCCGCTCATTTAGTTTGCGCGCATGCGCACTCAAAATATGAAATACTGATAATCAGCAAACATGGATGCCTGCAGTCGCAGTTTGACCCACTGAAGTATCGGTCAACATCACGCTCGAAGTACTTTGATAAAAAAAAATGTCCACGTGGACAGGAATTTAGGGCAATCAAAGTTACTTTTGCAAACCTTAGCGCAAAAAAAACAGAGTATTTGATGATTTTTTTTTGTTTTTCCGTGTCGTGTAGTACGAAAGTATTGGGTCACAAATTCAAAACAGGCGACAGTTTAGGGGAGGTTTGCCGAGTAATTGTAAACTTGTCTTCACTGATAAATGGTAAAGGATGCCACGGAAAGTGCGATGTATAAATATCATTTAAGTCGGAAACCGTTTCAATGAGAAAAGTAAGGTCTCACGTAGCTCTACTGAGTGGAGCGTTGAATTACGGGTACCCCTTCATACCAACGCTCCACCGATTCGCCATACTTTGGTGACACCGTCACAGTAGCATAGTCACAAACCCACGCGAGGACAAAAAAAAACCCCAAAACGGTAAAGAGAATACAAATGAGAGAGACAGTTATTCTGGATGGATCTATACATTCTTGACATTCCATGAGACCCCTTATATTGTTCCCAAACAGCGAAAATTTTGAAAAAAAAACCAGCAAAATAGTCTGAAAACTTACAGCTCAATGTGTTTGCAGGGAGGCTCAGTTCTTGAATCGACTTGTCGAATGAGGGCGTCTGACGTGACGTCACTGTCGTTGCTCGATCGCGAAGAAAAACAAGTCGCGCTTTATCAACGACTGTTTCTTGTAATAAAACTTTCTTCCTGTATCCTGATTCGATACCGCAATTTAAAAGTAATACATTTCTATTGTGTACTTGGTGTTGTTATTTCCAAGGTGCATTACGTGTTTTCAAGTTCTTGTAATTATTTCGTCCACACATTTCTTCAAAATAATCATTTTCTTTCCAATTTGTTCAAGTTATGAAATGTGACTGCATTATTTGTCTGGTAAAGATTGTAACATTTAAATTTTGAGAACAAAATCGTGTTTCCGTAACTCACGCCATGCTCACGCCGCGACAAACTAATGTTTTTACCCTAGACACATGGGCGTCGCGGGGGGGGGGGGGCAAGGGGGCCCTGCCCCCTTGCCCCCCCCCCAAAAAAAAATGTCCCTGCCCCCCTCTAAACTGAGAAATCGAGAATATGTTGAGGCATACAGGAATTTTCTGGGAAAAATATGTTTTGCCCCCCTCAAGAAAAAATCCTGGCGACGCCCATGCCTAGACACCACACAAAACAAACGCTGTTGTGAAGCATAGGACGTCACCAGACTACTGATTTGCATATGCCCCAACATGTTAAAAAATTCTGGACATGCAAATGATCCCAGGGTGAGAGAGCTGTCAATGGGTTCAACCCAGGGGTTTCTTGGGGGGGGGGAACCCTGTTTTCAAATGCACAAGACACTATTTTAATTTAATTCTGTGTGATTTGGGGCCAAGTAAGTATTCCTTTCTTCTGTCACTGTACCCCTTCAAGTTCAACACGTGACAATGTCTTTCTGATAAATCGTGGCGAAAGCTCTTGCCAAGAATATTGGGTAATAACATATCTCGTGCATATACATGTCGTCTTAATTCCAAGACTTATAGAGGTGCGAGGAAGCGCGAGGAAAGTAATCGAACGGCGACGCTGCTAATGAATTTCAAAAATGCATCAGAACTGATCTCTTCATTATGCACCCTTATTTACAGAAGGATTTAAAGGTGCCAAATGTACCACTATATATAGCCTTAGTTTTGCTGGCAATATTACACTTGTGTAAGTTTCTGAGAAAGATGAACATTAAGGCACCGATAATTAAAGACTTAATAAAAATACATCTGGGAAAAACTTCAACAAATTGTACGTTTACTTATAATTGCATTTTTGCTTCCATTATAGAGACGGCAAAATGACGAGGCGAGTCGGAATTCGAATGCAGCTTGTATTGCTGTTATACTGCATCTGTAAGCAAGCCACAAAATAATAATAATCTTTTTTGCGGACTCATGATGTGATCTGGGTGCACTGCATGGATTGTAAATCTAAACCCAGTAATCCCAATATTATTACCAAATTACAGGTAAATTAAGTTTTAAAGTCTAAAAGAGTATTGGGGTTGTATGGGAAATTTCGTAGTGGTTAATAAAAGTGGCTGTGAATTACGGGCAAATACCTTTCGGGAAATCATGACTACATCTGGGGGTGAAATCACTATACGGCAATGGTTTCCTTCTATAATGCCTCCAAAGATAATAATGAAGGCAAATCTGGCGGTGTTTGACTTTTGGTACAAAGTGAGAAAAATATTTGACTGGAGTTAATTTACTACAAATTAAGATTACTAATCAAGTACAATACAATCGTGTCAAAAAGAATGTCAATTGACCTAGATTTCCTGTGGGCTATTTATGTAATAAAATCATAAATGTCTCGTTCATTATAGGTTTAGGTACATTAGTCCGAGCGATCACCGTTGGAACCTTGTTCTTAGAACGAGGCCACCGTGGGATCATGCCCTATCCCCTGAGTAAATCTTGCAATATGCTGGTAGAGGAGGTCGACGCGATGTACTGGTACTATGACTCAATAATCAACACAGCCCTGCTCATCTCGTACTTCAATGGAAGAGTGGCTCCCCAAAACGGGATCCCAGAGGGCGTCTATGATATCGACAGTGAGTGCAATCTCATCATTGAGAACGTCACCGCCTCCAATCAGGGAACCTACTACTATAAGCTGAAACCGCATTTACTAGGCATGGAAGTGGGACAGATTGAAGTTTGTGACAAGGGTGAGTCCATTTTGTGAGTTTAGTTTACTGGTTGCTCCAAATGTTTCTTAGCATTTTGCAAATTCCTTTACAATATACAAAAACAACAAAGAAGTTCAATTGTCTCACTGTCACTAGTATAATATAAAAACTAAATTTGAAAGAATATTTATTTAAAAATTCCGAAATTTGGATCTGCACATTTCCCATGTTCATGGAGATTTTAAACAGCAAATATTGCTCAGCATGGCATGTTGGTGGGTAAATTCTTTGCCAAGGAAATATTTCCAGTGTTTAGGGAATGTCATGTGCCTAGCAGCTCCATGACATTGGCCGCAGGTCGATAAAAATAATGACGTCTGGTTTCCGTACTTTGTCTCGAGTCTCGGACAAGTTTTTACTCGAATGTAATCCCCAATCTCCGAATCACACTTTGATTAACATACCTCAATCATTTAAAGACGAAAGTACAAAAATATTATAGAAAATATAGAAAATATCCTACTTTAATGTAAGTAAATAATAGGATCATACATCCTGTGAAATCACTGGGCCTAGTATGCTGTCATTTTCGAGAAAACAGGAATTCCCATCAATGTCCCGATGGCTAGGACAAACTCATCTTGAAATGACAAACTGGGATCTTATCACAAGAGAATGCACTTTCAGTGTTTTTTGCAGAAGTATCTGAGCTGAAATTTGGGCCGGCTAGTTTGTTGAATAACCTTCTTCAGATTCATTGTATTGTTGAAAATCCATTTTCTTTTGGCAAATGATGTCCATTACCCTTTATCAACAGTCTCCCCAAGACGTTCATATCCTACCGTCATCGGCTGCAATCAAGACCACGAGGTAGACACGTGCGAGGCGAGAGTACGACACGACAGAACGATGCACAACCTGACCTGCGTCATGGAGCAGGTCAAACCTGCCGTGCAATTGAAGTGGTTTTTGGGCGGGCTGACGGAACTGAAGGCCTCATCAGCAGTCAGGCCTGTGGTTCTACCGGCTAACACAGGTAAGCAATGTTCTTCATAAGATAATGGAGGAATCGTGTATAGTCAGTGGCATCACTTGAAGGGTTGTGAGGCCGTGGGGGTGTTCACTCCTCTCCCCTCCCTGGTAATTTTTTTGGTCGGCAAAATCGTTGTACTGTCGACAAAATTGTGTGTCCGTCCGTCGTGTGTCTGTTTCAAAATATCGTCGACCTTGAACATAACGGCGCCCCATACACAGACATGATCGTTATCTGTTTTGTTAACTGTTATTAAAACATATACATGTGTATTATGTATCAGTTTTTGTTCTTTAAATCTATCGATCAGGTTTGTGGTTGAGGAACAACACCTATTCAACTTCAGCAACAATCCAAGTTCCTTCGGATTACAATGACATAGAATATGTGTGTGAGGCAATGGGTGTTGCTGTACTAGGAAGCAGTACTACACGCACGAGGGTGCGCCTTACCAAAACTAAACCCACAACGGCAACTCATGATGGAGCCTTGCTCTTAGAACGAGGCCACCGCGGGATTGTGCCCGGTCCAAATAGCCTAGCTTGCAAATTGATGGTAGAAGACGTCGACGCAATGTACTGGTTCTATGGCTCACTAAGCGACACATTCATGCTCATCTCATACTTCAATGGAAGAGTGGCTCCCCAAAACGGGATCCCAGAGGGCGTTTATGATATCGACGATGAGTGCAATCTCATCATCGAGAACGTCACCGCCCCCAATGAGGGAACCTACTTCTATAAGCTGAAACCGCATTTAAAAAGTACGACAGAGGGACAGATTGAAGTTCGTGACAAGGGTGAGTCCATTTTGTGAGTTTACCTTACTTGTGTTTGCTTCAAATGTTTCTTAGCATTTTGCAAATTCCTTTAAAATATACAAAAACAAAAAGAAGTTCATTTGTCTCACTGTCACTATAATATAAAAACTAATTTGGAAGAATATTTATTAAGAAATTTCTGACATTTGGATCTGCACATTTCCCAATTTCATGGAGATTTTAAACAGCAACTATTTCTTAGCATATAATTATATACACGATACGTGCTAAACAAAGATGAGCTGGCAACCTGCAGTCACAAGCAATAATAATCACATGGCATGTTAGCAGGTAAATTTTTTGCCAAGGAAATATTTCCTGTGTTTAGGAAATTTCTGTGCAGCTTTATGACATTGGCCGCAGGTCGATTACAATAATGACGTCTGGTTCCTGTACTTTGTCTCGAGTCTCGGACAAGTTTTTACTCGAATGTAACCCCCAATCTCTGAATCACACTTTGATTACCATACCTCAATCATTTAAAAACGAAAGTACCAAAATATTAGGAAATGTCCTGCTTTACTGTAAATAAATAACAGGATCAAACCTCCTGAGAAATCACTGGGCCTAGTATGCTTTCATTTTCAATAAAAGAGGAATTCCCATCATTGTCCCGATCGTTTGGGCGAACTCATCTTGAAATGACAAACTGGGATCTTACCACAAGAGAATGCACTTTCAGTGGTTTTTTTTGCAGAAGTATCTGAGCTGAAATTTGGGTAGGCTAGTTTGTTGAATAACCTTCTTCTGATTCATTGTATCGTTGTTCCTTGAATCAGTGAAAATCCATTTTTTTTGTGCAAAATTAATGATGTCCATTACCCTTTACCAAAAGTCGCCCCAAGTCGATCATATCCTACCGTCATCGGCTGTAATCGACGCAGACACGTGCAAGGTGAGAGTACGACACGACAGCAATGTTCTTCATAAGATCATAAGATCATGGAGGAATCAGGTAATTACTGGCATCGCTGGAGGGGTTGTGGGGCCGTGGGGATACACTCCTCTCCCCTCCCTAGTTCTATCTTTTTTGATCGCCAAAATTGACAAAAATATCATCGACATTGAACATAACAGCGCCCCATACACAGTAATGATCGTTTCCGATTTTTAGTTACCTGTTAATAAAACATATGCGTGTTATATGTATCTATAAATCTATCGATCAGGTTCGTCGTTGAGGAACAACACCTATGAAGTTCGTTCCTCCAGCAATCCAGGTAGGTTTCATTTCGCGGACTTAGTGTGACTCAATATCTGGCTGCTATATTGGATTAGTAAACCGTACATTGTGTAATTTCGATGTTATTGTGAAAGTTCTATATATAATTTGATGTTGATCGGGAAATACCGATGTGGTTCAATAAAACCGGCTGCAATTACGATAGAATGTAACTACATCATGGGAAGAAATCAGTGAACCACGCTTTCTGAACTAGTGCAATTATTGTGTTCACTTCGTAGTAATTATGTAACTGCATTCACACACAATCACGAGTGCGAATCTGGCAATATTTTGATTCTCTTCATTGAGAAGAATTATAATTCGACTTTTGTTTGCTTTAAATGACCGCTACTAATCACGAGTAATATAATGTTGACAAAAAGAATTTGATTTCAGCAAAATTGTAAAACTATCCAGGAATCATTTTGCTGGGCAAAAGGTCTTTGAATAGAAAATCAGATATAATTTCGCGTTCATTTGGTTAATAGTCCCAGGTGCTATTGCTTATGCGAACTCTAACGGAACGAGGCAGAGGGATCGTGCCTGTCACCTGAATGTATTATAAATACATTGTGTGTACTAATGCGTATCGAATCCCAGAGGAAAAGGACGTCAGATGTGACGTCAGATGGGGTCTATTAGGTGATGAAACAATGAAACTCAGTGATTCGATCAAGTCAGATATCAATCGCATCAGTCAGATATCAATCGAATAAAGCCAGAAGTGAATTAAATCAAGTTACATATCAAACGAACCTAGTCAGATATTGTGTCAGAGTGCCTTTTGACTCTTTTCAGGAACAACGCTTGCTTTGACAGACGGTATTCCAATTCCCAACAAACCCGTCGATTCGATTGCGATATGGGTCGTGGCTTCAATCTTACTCATCTGCTTTGTCGCTGCCTGTGTCTACATTGTAAGTACAGTGTGTATAATTGTACATGTATTAAAAAAAGTTGGTGCTGGGACTTGGCAGGGGTTAGGAGCTTTGCTAAATATTTTGTCAACTGTGCACGAGGAGGGGTAGGGAGGATCAGCACCTTAGGGAAATTCAAAGGGGGAGGGGGCGAGGTGGAGTCTATCTCACTCAAAGGGGGCGCTGTTCAAACATGTATCGTCAACCGGGTTTGCCGCCCATCATGCCCATGTAAAGGGTAATAAACTGCGACTTATGTGTATTGCATAGTTTTAAAAAGTTAAAGTGCGTTGGCTATTTTGTTATCCTTGAGTATATGACGCTAAATGCTAGCTGATGACGAGGACATGATGGGGTTTGCGTTGGTCCATTGGCGGCGCCCGACTCTAAAATGGGGGGGGGGGGGGGGCAATTGGGTTCAGGGAAATATTTTGGGGGCATGTCAACTAAAAGCCTGTGTATTCGCGCGCGTGCCCATTAGGTCCGTGGGACCAGAGGCCGAAAACGCTTAAATTTTCGAGATACGCGATCTGGTCTGCCGAATTTTATAACCCTTTCCAGACATGTAGATTATGATGTACCATATCTAAAAAAAAAAAAAAACATTCAACGGTTCCCCGATCCACAGTCTGTTTGGGAAGGAGATAATCTGGGATAAAAAGGCCGAAAATGTTGCATGAGAAAAAACATAACAAACAGCGCCCTCTATTGACACGGTCAGAAACATTTTCGCACGCAATGAGCGCTTGCCAGATAATACTTCTTTCAAGTTCCATTTGAAGATCATTACAAATCAAATTCATTCAAGCTGTTGCCGAATGGCAGCATTCAGAAATCGAATTCGTTGTTTATAAATCAATTAGACGAATTACGTTTTTTGACTAAAAAGGTTAATTGGCGTAGACCAGACGAAATCGATACTAGGCCCGTTAAATAATTGTTGTATAACATGTCAAAAGTCTCATCAAACGGACCCACGTTTTTGTTTGCAAACTTGTTTAAGAAGAAAAAATTCATGTATATTCCCCTTTTTGGAAGCTGTGAGTGGCAGCATTACCACTGCAATTTTTGTTCAAGCTAAAACCATTTTACTGATTTTATTATTTTGAATATTGTTTTAAGAACCGATTCCTTATTTTGTTGTTGCTATGTCCATTCCGTGAAACCACAAATACCCCAACAGCCCACTCGCTTCCTTTTTGAGGCTGCATCAAATTTGTATTACTTTTTTTAGATTTCAGGAATAACATTTCTTTAACATGTTTCAGAAGTTCAGATGCTCCAGCAGATCACGGCCACGCACTTATATTATTTTTGAAAACATGTTACCCTGAGATAAGAATAAAATTATTCTTATCTGTGGTGTAACCATACCAATCGATGTTCAGCTAATACATAACAATATAAACATTCAAATTAGGTTTTGGCCTTCACTGACGTGTAAACACGGTATTCTCAGTGTGTTACCTCCCGAATGAAAGTTGGAAAAATCACTCGGGTAAGACTCGAACCCACAACCTCCTGCTTTCTAGTGCAGATGGCTTACCACTCGACCAACGGGATCGGTTGGCCGGTTCGAATCTGATGTAGTAGCGGGTACCGCATAAAATATTTTAAGATGAAATTTTTGCGGCAAATTCGAACCGGCCAACCGATCCCGTTGTATCAAAGGCTGCACACTATCTAAGCTGTATATAAATGCATGTGTGGCGTGTTTTGTCTACTAAATTACGGTACCAATGTTTATAATGCTTCTTTTGGCCCAAAATGTGTCCACAGTACCGATGATTCACTCTCTATCGTCAAGTTGTTATGAATTTATACAGCGAAGGAATTCAGCAATTAATATATTTGTAGATAAAGTGTTGGGGGAAAACTGTGGCGGCAAACGATGGGGGGGGGGGCAGAGAAATTACTTCTGGTGAAAATCCCCCACGGTGCCCCCCCCCCCCCCAGTGCCGCCACTGCGTTTTTATGCTTAAAAGAAAGGGAATTGTTTTCTAGTGAGATATTAATTTATCACAGTTCAAACCTGAACGTCTTGCATTCGGGTGACATGATCCACTGCTAATTATCCTAATTTTTGCAATAATTTACATAAGTTTTTTTATTTGCATTGTGATGTTTGTCATTAAAACAGGTCTGTCTAAAGAAGAAGAAACAAAGTGAATACATTCGTGCTGAAATTTACGCCATATGAGCCTCCGGGACCCTCAATGAGCTCTGAGCATTTACACCGGGTTGCCCTTTCTCTTGCCATAGTTTTGGACAGAATGATTTCTTCAAACCGTAATCACCCCAAGAAACATTCATGTTGTAATTTTATGGTAGCGTTCCACAAGAAAAAATTATCAGAAATCTGTTGGAGATGATGAGGCATTTTACTCTACACATGAACAATACTAGTGAAAACTACCTCCGGCGAGTTTAAATTGAGCCCATCACGTGAAGTCGATTTTGAAAAGTATATTTCTCTGGAGTTTCAATTTTAATATATAGTAACTTGCAGTCGATCTGTCTTTTTCTTTAAAGAAGAATTAGTCTTTAAATTATGTTGACATAGGCCTACTGTAAACTTTAACGATCAAAAACAAATCAGTTTGAAAAGAGATTTTAAAAATTACAACGTGATGTAAAGGGGATGCCTATTTAATTTGACAAGTGATTTTCATTTTAAGCTCTGACAGGATTGAGTGTCAGAGCTTAAAATGAAAATCACTTGTCAAATTAAAGGGGCATCCCCTTTACATCACGTTGTACATGGCACTTGGTGGTCGGTCGGTCGATCCCTGGAAAATTAATCAAAATAAGCCCCTGCGTTTCCTCTAAAACATAAC